CATCAAAATGAGGTTTCAATTTTTTTTAGCATTAGCGTTAATAATAAAAAATAAAAATTTTTATTTATCATAATTGATTTTGAAATTGAGAATTAATTTCTAGTCTCCATATATCACATATTTAAAAGTTTAATAAAAAATTATTACTGCTTAAGAGATTTAAAAACATAATTACATATAATTTTTTTGACTTATATTATTTTACTTATTTTCATTGTTATTAATATCATTTGATTTTTTGATTTATTATTTTTTTGATCTGGTTATTATATGAAAAGTTGTTAATATTATTTTACTGCATAATAATGTTCTTATATTTGTGGAGAATTCCTGTTAATTTTAAGTTTGCTTGCATTATGAAAATTTCTTTGATATCTTAACCAAACTTCCCAAGCTCTCTTTATATCCCATTCTTTAAGATTTGCATTAGATAAAGTACAGATTTCTACAAGCACTATTTCCATCTCTGTCTTTCTTAATTCAATATTATTTTGAAATCTTTCAAAGATTACTTGTTCTAAACTTGTTAAATATCAGTGTTTTTTATTAATTTTTTAATTGTTCTCAAATTTTTTTTCCTTTGATTTTGTGCTTTGTTATACTTCTGCCTCTTTATGCTTCTTGTTGAGTTGTTTAATTATCTTTTCATGCACTTTTTGATCTATCTCTGCTTTTTTTGCTGGTTAATTGTATTTGTTCATATATTTTTTTATTCAGTAATCTTTAGTATTAAGAGGAATAATTTTTTCAATTTCTTGAGCATAAATATCCTTAAGTTATTCAACTCTAATTTCATAACAACTAAAAAGATTTTTGAATCCAATTTCATTATTTTGTGTTGTGTCATGAAATATTTTGTGAGAAATAATTTATTTTCATCAAATGTTTCTATAAGTTTGTAAGTTAAATTCCAAAGTTTTTCTTCATGAAAAATTATTATGCAGCTTTCATGAACAAAAATGTTATTTTCTACAAACTCATCTAAAAGCAAATCAAGATATTCTCATTCAGATTATACAGAAGATATTCTCATTATTAAATCTTTATTTCTACTTGGATTTATATCAATATTTTATTTCATATACTTGTCTTTAAAGGATTTCAAGAGCCTTATCAAAGACAAAAAAATATTCTGGTTGAGTCAAATTAACTAAATAAATATAATAAAGTAATAATTATAAAGAAGATTTATTATTAACATAATAAATAAAATGAGTAGTGGATTTTGTGTAATTACTCTTTCTAGCTATTGTAAATACCATTATATTTTTAAAATTGTATATCATAATAATCATGTCAAATTCTAATGCAGTGACCAATCTAATAGCCAGTCTAACAAAAGTAAAGGTACCATATTTTTATTATATTATTTATATTTGAAATATTATTAAATATTTTATTTTAGTTTTTTGTAATTTATTTTAAAGCAATTACTACAGCCACCTATATTAATTCTAGAACATGACTTATAGCTTGATAATCAATCACTTTTTTCAGTTTATCAAGATAATATACTCCTAGATAAGCAGCTAAATTGAAAATTTCATAGCCTGAAAATATAGTAATTAAAGTTTCACATATTTCTTTACTTGTATGTCATACTTCCAGCAAGAGTCTAACTTCTGGTCTTTTTCATGATAAGATATTAAATAGCAAAAAATTATCTCATCATATACAAAATCTATATCATTATTTTTTGTATGTATATTATTAAAATTCATATTATAAGCTTTATAAATAGTTTTATTATTATAAGAATTTGGTTCAGCTTCAAGAATTACTATATTTATAAATGATATTTTATATTTTAACTCAATATCTTTTGTTATTTCATTATGAATTATATCAAATTCAATAATAAATTCTAAAAGAATATCAAAAACTTTTTCAAAATCTTGAATTTGCTTTGTTGTAAAGTCTGATTGATCTATTATAAATTTTTGTTTTTTATCAACTGTAACAAAATTTGTATTTAAAAAAAAAGATAATTTGAATTGAAAAATTATTCTTAAAGTAGTATAAGCTATTATATGAGTAGCATCATAAATATTTTCAAAGCAAAAGAATATTTTTTAAAGTTAATATTATCTATTACATAAAGATTTCAAATATTTTTCTCTTGTAATAGCTTTTTTTGACTTAATTTCACTTATTTTTGTTTTTCTAATCTTCTTTCATGTTATTAAGTATAAGAAATAATATCGTCTATATATAATATCATGCATAATAAGCTTAATAGTTTGGATTTTCTGTATAATAAGCTCATTATATGTGTTAGTCATAGATTAATGCTTGAAAATGTAATTATTAAAATCATAAATATTAAAAAAATTGAAATTTTTGCTAAATGAGCTATATTGAAATTCTTTTCTTCAAGTTCTCTTTGTTTTTATTTTTTCTGTTATTTCATGCTTTTTTTTCTGTAAAATATCAATAAAACTATTAAAAAACTTTTATAAAAAGATTAGAAAGCTATTTTAATATTCTTCAAGAAATTGTGATGTATCAAATTCTTTTTTTTCTTATTTCAGAATGAGATTTCCAAGTAACAAGAGCAACAGCTTCACTTATTTTTTTCAAATTCTTCTTTTGTTGAATTATAATTTGAATATTTTTCTAATTTTCTCAAATTTACTTTTTCAAGACATAGCATTTAAAATATTCTGATTATTAATAACTATTGAATACTCTATACAGTTTATTTTCCAGCTAAAAATATATTTATCTTTGTGATAAAATATATAATAATGTTGAAAATACAGCTTTTTTCAGTTGATCACATTTGTTTTATTCTTTTTCATGTAAATAACTTTGATCAAATGAATAATGTGACTTGCAAACTCTTAAATTATGAAGTATACTTTCTGGACCTGTTTGTTTTATTACATTTTTATCTATCTCGCATGTTCCTACCAATTGCTTTAGTAGATGAAATTCATATCCTGATTTTTAATAATTTGAACATTGTTCTAATTATCCATTGTTGATGTCCAAAATCACACATGATTCTTTATCATCATATAATTCTTTGTCATTACTATTAGTTTCTTTATGCTCTGATTTACAAGTACTAATTGTTGATTCAGTTTCAATTGTCATCAAATCATTCCATGTTATATCATTGTCAATATAATCATTATCAAGATTTGCTCACTCACTTGCATTTTGAAAAGCTATGTGATTTAATGTAAAGTCACATGTATTATCAATAATTGTAGAGGATATTACTATCAGAATTGAAGCTATAATTATCATTTTCAAGCAAATCATATTCACTATCAGGATCAATATCAATATTATTTATAAAGTCTGATAATATTTTGTTTTTTGGATCAGTCTTGTAAATAGTCATGATAAAATGGATGTCATTTAATATAGTATATAGTATTGATATAAATAATTAAAAGAGTGTTAACAACTAAGATAGAGATTAATGTTAAGTGTTAAATGCGAATCATTATTTTAGAAAAATATCTCATTGACATAAAAAAATTTATGTATGTATTTAGAAAAAAGAAGGTAAAGTTTCTTAGAAAATATGTAACAGACAGTAAAGCTGTAAAAGCTAATTTTCATATGAAAATAGCATAATTTTATCATGCAGAATCATACAGAACTTTTAAAATATAGATATGATTTTCGAAAGACATTTTTAAAATGCGAATTATGCAGATGACAATAATGAAAAATTTTAAATTGTTATTTTTTATTACAAAGAAATAAAAAAACAAAATCAATTCTAGAGAATCGATATCTATCTCTACTTAATAATTCATCAACAATTTAATTTTTGCGTGATGCCTTCCATCTATTTTTCTAATTATTGATTTATTTTTATTAATATCCTCATTAATAAAAATAAATCAATGATAAATAATTAAATATCTTCGTTAATTGTTATTTTATGGTTAGTCAGATAAAAAACGATAAATAAATTGTCTTATCGTTATAGTTATTTCCTAATAAAGTAGACATGCATATATCGATATTATACGAATGGAGGTTTTTATTTAAAACTATAATTTAATAACGATAAGACAGGCAAAAGAACTATAAGATTAATAAATGGTCGGATTAAATCGATATTATACGTTAACTTTAAATGACGCTCGTTTTATTAAGGTTTTGTCTGTTACAGTATTTATATTAGAAATACAAGTAGCAAATATCTGCCATTATTCTTTATCTTAGAGCACTGTATTAATTTACCTTTAAAAATAACATAAAATAAATAGACAGAGCAGACAAAACTCTGCTTCATCATATACTGTATAAAATGGTTTTATGCTAGTTGTTGAAAAGATTACACAAAAAATAAGGGGACATGTCCTGTGTGCGATAACGATAACACATGTATGTTATGAGTATCTATAAAATCTGTGAAACTATAAAAAATCTATTTTTTGTAATTTACATACCGATACGATGATAGACTTTCCAAACGAAATAATTATCTTGGTTTTACAATACGTATTATATGGAACAACGTAAATAAGAAACTGTAATTATTATTGTAATTTTCTGGCAATGGTAAAGACGATTTTAATTTTGGATTATACATGTATTAATAAATGAAGGTATAAATACTTTACAAAATTACGGCATACTTGTAATTTATGGAATTTGCTCATACCGGATATTGTATCAAATGATTTACAAGCGAGATTTAAAAATGATTTAGTGTTTAAGGTGCGTAAAGATATTCTCAATAAATAGCAAAATCACCAATTACTTACCCTAAGAGCAAATATGCAATAGACGGCATGTGATATACGATCGTTAGACCAACGAGTAGAATTTACGGCAACTCCACAGTTCACACACGAAAACAACAATTTCTACATATTCATATTCCCGAAAAACTATTCTTCTTTATCGTCTCCAAAAATATCCAACGAAAATAATGACAGTATTGCTGCTACTGTAACGACGACGACGACGACGACCCATTTTGCACCAACATGTTCTTGTAAAATCACAATTTCTAAATCGGATACAAGTTCGGCTCTCCCAATTGGATGGAAAACTATTGAATTGATCCCGATTTTTATTTATAATCTAAACGAGGCATCCCTACAAGAACTACGTGTCAAAAAAGGACTATGGATTGCATACGTTAATACCGTGAACGAACAACAGGAGATAGGCGTTGAAATTAGGCATTGTAAATTTTCGAAGAAAATATTATTGTCGTTGGTGGATATAATTGATCAGTTATATGGCGCTGTTGGTATGTTGGGCGTTAGTGCTGATGAAGAGTAGAGAAATGTCAAATGATATTATCATTATCCTTTTTAGCCTTATACATGCACATGTATTACCGTCTGTATGCGCTATACCACATGAAATCAAATAGAGAATGAAGATGTTTCGAATGCCATACAAATTCATGATGAACTACCAAATCAAAGGCATAATTTTCAATAAATAAATCATTCGTGATTGTTTTACAACACATAATTTCTCGAGATTATTTAAACGGTCAACTTTATTCATTTTTAAATCATGACAAGAGAAATTAATATGGAATTGTTAAAAGAATAATGCAAGATTGATACTTACGTGTATTAAAAAAATTACATGTATTATTTTTTATTTCTTACTGAGATTTGTGACAATAGTTAACAATGATTTGTTTATGAAGATGCAAATTGTTGATAAAGAGCTTTCAATTACGACCTATAATTTTTCCTTTAAGTTAAACAATACAATGTCCACTTTCTTCTATTGAAAATAAAACAAAACTTGTAATTAATAAAGAATAAAAATACATGTATATTCGAATTATAATGATTACTACAAATTTATAAAAAAATTAAACGTTAATCTTTGTTTTAATTAGATCATGCCGGTTAATTCACAAACAACTGAAAGAGATTGTTATTAATATAAATTTCTTAAAGAAAAAGTAATGAAAGTAACTTTTACCTGTATGACAACTCTTTTAACTATAAAACAATTCATTCCATCTTACTAAATAAAAAAATAAACAATATTTTTTCTTATTTTTTATCTATTTTTTCCCAAATAAAATTTATATAATATAAAAGAATCTTTGCTCAAAGCTATGAAATCCTCTCAAGTGATTGTTATGATCTTATGCCATTAATTCATAGGCAACTATCTAAAAAAGAGATCATCATTAATATTATATATAAATTTCTTAAAGAAAAGTAATGAAAGTAACTTTTGCCTGTATAACAACTCTTTCAACTATAAGCCAACTCATTCTATCTTAATAAATAAAAAAACTCATGAATATTTATTTCTTATTTTTTATCTATTTTTTCCTAATAAAATTATTATAATATAAAAGAATCTTTATGAAATTAAAATAAATCACTATTTCTATTACTATTGCTATTATTATTATCATATTATTACATATTAATTTTTAATCTTTTCAAGTTCTATTAATTATAATATATAAAATAATTCAAACTCTAATGAAGAAAGAAATTGCCAGTTCAAATCAGTATAAAGTATCTTTTTTTCTAAATAAAAATTACTTTAATTATATTAATCTTGATAAAGATGATGATTTATCTTTTTAAAATTTAATATTGATATAATTTCTTCAGAAAATAATGATCATTCAAGTTATATATGTATAATCTTTGCTAAGTATATTTTATTATTCTAAAAGTTAATATTAATATATATATAAATCTATATTATAATTTCTATTTATTTTAAACTGAAATATTTTGATAATATTATCATGAATTTTATTAATAAAAGTACAATATCTAATAGTACTGTAAATAATTTTTTTTATAAAAAATTATAAAATTAAAATATAATCATTTATTTGAGATGAAATAAATTTCAAAAAAGTATATATAATAGCTAATACATATGAAAATAAAGACTTTTCTTGAAAGAATATTAATATAAAAATTCAATATAATAATATAAATTCAATATTAATGTCAAAAATAATATTAATATTAGAATTAAAATTAGAAATAATATTAGTATTAAAGCTAAAATCAAAAATAATATCAAAATTAGAATTAGAATTAGAAATAACAGAAAAAAAAAGTATATTTAATTGAAAATATTAATTATTTTATAATCTTCATTATAAAATATCAAAAAATTTTACATAAAAGTTTCAAAATATAATAAAGTAATAGACTTAAAATTTATATAAAAAATAAGTCAAGAATAAATAAGAAATTATTATAAAACTTATTTTTATTATAATAATTATTATTAAAATTATATGAAAAATAAATAATTATTAATGTATATTACTTAAAAATGATAATATCTCTAAAAGATACTTATAAATAGATAAATATAATAAATAAAATAATAAATAAGAAAAAGAAAAAGATAATATATCTAGCTATTTTTATAAAATAAAATATAATAGAAATTCTATAAAGAACTATTTTCTAAAGCAAAAATAACTCAAAGAATCATGTGATTTTTCTTGATAAATCTAGATAATTATGATATAGAAAATTATATATAATATAATAAAGTGATATAATATAATTTATAAACTAATAATTAATTTGTTATATATCTTTTCTCTTAAGAATTAATATTCTTATTGATAATTAGATTTAAAAGATTTTATAAGTTTTATAATATTGTAAAGATTTTTTAAAAGTTTTAAGTAGTATTATAAAATAAGTAATCTAATTATTTAACTAAGTATTAAGATTTATTATAAATAAATTTTTATTCAAGATTGATTTAACTTTATACTTTTCTTCTTTAGCTTCTAATATAATGATTAATTATAATGATATTAAATAAATAAATTTTTTATTATTATTAAAATAATATAGTTTTAATAATAAAATATGAAAATAGAATAGATTTTTATATATTATAGTAAATCTAATTTATATATATTAAATGATATAAATTTAAGAATAAAAGAATTTAATATATTTAGATATAAGCTTTTTATTAAAAAATTATTTATTTATAAGATTAATTATATTACAAGTTAAAAGTAGAACTTGATTTCTAATTTTAAATTTTTGATAATAATAATATTAATTAGTATATTTAGATTAGTAATTCTGAACTTTTATTAATAATCTCTTATATTTTTAATTATATTATTCCAATATTAAATGAATTTATTAGTGATAATGACTTTATTATTTAAGATAAATATTAAAAATATAATAAATATTAATTATAATCTAGATATATATCTAAATAAAGCTTATATAGAATTATTATAAATAAATTAGTAAAAACAAGATATATATTTGATTATATATATGTAAAAGAACTAAAAAGTTTTGCATATGGCTCTTTAACTCAAGATTGCATTAGTTTAACTAAAATTGGAAATAATTATTAAATGTATATGATCTCATATAGTAAATAAAAGAAAGTAAAAGTAAATTCATTATCTTATTATCAAGAAAATTATTTTTTTGCAAAGCATAGTAAAATAACTAGAAGAAAATAAGCTGTGAAAACTAATAATACTTTATTTTTGTTTCTTGAAAAAATAGCAAAAATACAACTCAAATCCATAAAGAGTTAATAAATATAGAAGAAGAATAAAAATTATCTATCAGTATAATTAGATATCAAATTGTTATATTCAAAGATAAAAAAGAAGAAATTAAAGATAATATCTATTCTAAACATCCTCATGAAGCAGTATTATCAGAAAAAATTTTCAGGATCAAGAATTTTATTAATAATGATTTATATATTTCTATTAAAGAATTAACTAATAAAGTTAGTATTTCTCATAAAAGAATTTCTTACATTTTGTATAAAGAGCTAAATCTCCACAAACTCTGTACAAAATGAATTTTTCATAGGCTTTTAGAGAAATATAAATGAAATTATATCAAAATTTTCAAGCAACTATTAAAAATTTTAGATAAAGGATACAAAAATATTATTACTAGTAATAAAATATGGATATATTTCTTTACTATTTTAAATAAAAAAGCAAATAAGTCACAAATAAAAAAGAATGAGAATAGGTTATAAATTATGAAAACAACTCAAAATTCAAAAAAAATATTTTGCATATTTTTTCTATAGATAGAATTACTATATAATTTATAATTCCAAAAAAACAAACAGTTAATACTAATTTTTATATCAATGAGATACTATCAAAAGTTTTTTGAACTTTATAGAAAAAAGAGATAGAATAATTATTCATGATATTATACTTCATTATGATAATATTGTAGCATATAAAACAAGAATTATAATAGAATATCTTTATAATAAATGAGTAGAACTTTTTTTCCACCCATCATACAGTCTAGATTTTGCTTCTTGTAATTTTTTCTTATTTTCTCAAATAAAAAAGAACTAAAGAAAAAGAGATTTGATAAGATCAAAAACTTGACAAGGGCTATTTAGGCAGTTATTAAAGATATTTCAAAAGAGAACTATAAGAACTCTTTTTAGAGTTGATAAAATTGACTAGAATATTATATAGAGTTTAATGAAGAGTACTTTGAAGGAATGAAGTAGTTATATTGATAATTATTATAACAGTTCTGAAAATAAATATTCATATGCAAAATTTTTCAGCTCTCTCACATAAAATATATATATAATATTTTTTTTAAAATATAATTTATTTTTTCAGTTTATTTATTAAGTTATAAGTAAAATATAATTAATATAGCTAATAAAAATAGCTTCTTAACTAGTTGCAGCTTGTGATAGATAATCAGAAAATTGTAATAGAGTTGCTAAAGTCAATCAGAGAATTGTGACAGAGTTGCAGCTAGTTGCAGTTTTTATTACTAATAGCTAACTTAGTATTAATTTATTTAAAAAGAAATTTCAGAAATAATAAATTTGATATTATAATCTAAAATAATAATATTAAGTAATTTATATAATTTAAAAATATTATTAAAGAAATTTCAGAAGTAATAATAATAATATAAGTAGAAATAAAATGAGTTTATTTAGTAAAATAATTAATAATAATAAGAATTATATTATAATCTTGATAAATAATAAATAATTATATAATAAAATTCAAAGTAATTTATTTTTAATATTATTTAAATATTTTTAAGAATTATAAAAGTTCTAAGAATAATTAATTATTACTTTTATTTCTTTAATATTCTTTATAACTTAAAATATATTTATGAATATTCTTGAATATTTTTGACTAATAATAATATTATTATAATTACTCATATATTTTATTAATTTTCAAATAATTAAAGATAGAAATATTATATTCTTCTTCTAGAATTTGTATTTTCAAAGCTTAATTTTTTGGAATAGCA